TCGCTCGCTTGCATTAAAGAGCAATTAGCCGCGGCTCGCGAGCACGCTGATGCCCGGAAGCGATAGAAGCGGGCCGCGCGTGCCACCCTTACTTCTCCTTCGTATGCCTGGCTTTGTACACATGCTTACACTTACGTTGGTAACGCGTCTTGCTCGCGAGCTCGCCTGACTCGAAGCAGTCCAAGCCGGCATAAGGACTTCCCTCTCCCTCGGCTCGTAAGATCCATGCCGCCGTTGCCATCAGCGTTGTTACCGTGCGTCTTCATCGACGAGGAATCTCTTTCTCGCCTCCTCTCGTTCGCACCTTCGTGGATCCTTCTTTCCTAGAACATAAACGAAATCGTCAGAATTCTCGTTTCCCGTTGGTACAAAGGACAATGTAACATCACGACGCAGTGTGATTTTACAACAGAATTGAAATACAACAAAGAATGCAGAAAAGGAAGACGGCCAGAAACTTTTACGTACATTTGATCTCCTTCCCTCCTGGTCGCGCACGCCTCTTCAGCCTTTTTCTTCTCTTTTCCGCTTCGTTCTCCCCTCGTGGCGTATAGTCGCTCGCTCAATTACCGTCGCAGATAATCATTATCGCGGAAACTGTATCGCCGGGCCTCATTGCCCCAATCCTTAATTAACCGCCGGCCAGACGGTAATTGGTACGAACCGGTGTCGGACAGCCGATACATCGGCGAGAACGAGGCGTACGTGGGCAGTAACGTTCATCCTCGGTGACTGTGCTAACACCGTCCCGCATGTACTGCAAAATTCATTCGACATTAATTTAACGTTGCACAATTAATACGCGCTGCACGAACTGCTTACGCGTTGCAGCCGTCCAATTGCATTAACGTCTTGTTTGCCGACGCGGTAACTCTCGTGAAAGTGAATATCTCTCGCGAAAATGAAATCGCTTGACATTTCAAAAATATAGAATATTTTTTCGAATTAATATAACGTGCGCGTATATTCACGATTAATAGCAAAGTTAAAAGATAATTAAATTACGTCTCGCAACACGAATAAAAATAAAAATACCTGTATATTTCTGTTATTTATATTTCACTTCGATTCTTTTTTCAGTAAATTTAAAAATATGAACTGAAAATCACAACGGACACGTATACGTACGCTCAGACACGCATGATGCGCACTGAGAGGAAAATACTTGAAAATTTATTTGTGAGATATAAGATCTGTTCACAGAAAGAAACTTTATATCTCATAAATAAATTTTCAAATATTTTTTCTCAGTGCATGAGTGCACCCCTTGTTAACAACCGACGTTGCCCATCAAGATTCACGTATATCTTTAGCGTCATATTATCTTTCTTTTTTCTCTGATTATCATCGTATTTCTAATTACCGATTAATAAATCCGACGATTAGGCTCATATTAATAACTTGAAACTTGTTTCAAGTGTAAAAGATTCAGGTTTTAATTTAGACTTAGATGTGAGTTTTTCAATTATCTTGCACAATTATAAATACAATGTCACATATATCGTATGACTTAACTGAAAACTTTAAATCTAGATTTTTAATTCAGATCTATGTATCTCACGTGAGACAAGTTTCAAGTAACAAATATTAATGTAAGCCTAAAGCTTCGTCTATAATACGTGGAGTAAACTTAGCATATGAAAAATAAGAATAAGAATAAAAAATAAAACTAATTTATTTCACTTTTATACATACCTAAACTGTTTCCCTTCAGGGTTGGGAAAATTATTTTTTAAAAGTAACTAGTTACAGTTACAGTTCCCTTTGCTGAAAATGTAACTAGTTACAGTTACAAGTTACAGGCTATGAAAAGTAACTCGTTACAGTTAAAGTTACTCAAAAAATAACGAGTCGTTACTTTTAAGTTACTTTCTTGAAATGATTGTAAATTATTATTGTACATACAAAAACCTTACATTTTAAGCTTTACTAAATTGTAAGAATTGAATTTTATAATTAATATCTATCATATTAATTAGTCAATCCACTTAACAAATATCAAATCTGTACTTAATATAATAAAAATTTAATGATAGTCTTGTAGAGGTAAAAAAATTTAATTACATGCTCCATAAATATGTTGATAAATTTCCCAAATAGCACAGAGAATTTAAAGAGAATTCAGTCATATGTCACCAATTCTGAGTTTATTTTAAAATGCAAAAAGAATTCTTTTCACTAAACTCTGAAGAATTCTTTTTGCTTCTGAAAATGAACTCAGAATTAGTGATATACGACTGAATTCTTTTTTAATTCTTTTTGAATTCTCTGTACTATTTGGATTATTAAATTAATATACGATTACTATATAATTTTAATTTTATTTTTACGTTCCCCAAGTAACTATTAAAGTAACTGTTAAAAAAGTTACAAATTATTAAAAATAAGTAACTAAGTTAAATTATAGTTACAGGTAGAAAAAAAGTAACTAAGTTAAGTTATAATTACCGAAAAAATGTAACTGTAACTGTAACTTCGTTACAAGTAACGAGTTACTTCCCAACTCTGGTTCCCTTACACTGGAAGTATTTATTTGACAGAAAGACTTTCGGCGTAAGGGAGCTGAAATATAAGCTTAAGCGAAATAAATTATTTTTATTTCTTATTCCTACTCTTACTTCTTCCTCCAAGTTTAGTCCGAATGTTGTGGACGAAAGCTAAGAGACGGCGCTGACTCGACGCGGCGCGACAAGCACTGGTTGCGCGTACTGAAAGAATCGAGAAGATTATTCGTTACTAACGATACTTACATACGTCGTGATCGTTATTTCGGCACGATATTTAGTCGCGTACAAGACTTACTTTCGATAGACAAAAGATACGAAAAACGCGCTGAGCGATGTCGACTGATGTGTCAATGATGGTTGCTCGACGCGAAAAGATCGAAAATGGTCGCGCAATGCATGACGGACGCCGAAAGTCCCGCTCCTACTCTGTCCAGTTAATTCCGCGAATGCTTCACCATTCGATAGATCGATAGTTATTAAGAGTTTCCGACCAATCACATTCTACTATGCATCTTTTATTTCACTGTTAATTATGCCCAATTTCTTCACCTCCGGTTAACTTTATCTGTCGGATAAATGAAAACCGTGATTGGTTAATCTTGCCAACCATAAATATGATTGGTCAATTCCAATAGAATAACTGGCAGATAAAATTAACCGGAAGTGAAGAAATTGGGCATTAATAAAAAAAAACATCCCGCTTTCTGGATTAATCAACAGATACAAAAATGCTGCTAATCGCGAAAAAATTTAATAATTATATCAACCTATCCATAGAGATCTATCATTCGTGGATTGAATATATACTATCCGGCGTTAACATTAAGTTTGTCGCATTGCTTACACTTTTGACACTTTTTATATCTAATGCTCGTTGTACACTGTCCTCTCTTTAGAAAGAACTTTGATTTTCGCTCATTCGCGTCTGATGTGCAACGGGCATTAGATGCAAAGGTATCAAAAGTGCAAACAACGTGAACAAATCTATTAACCTTAATATTACTAGGCGTAGCTTTAAGATTACTAGACATAGTTACAAGAATTTCTCGACCATCATATTTTTGCATATTCGTACACCATAACTGTTAAATATTCTATAGAAGCAACAGCGTTAGAATATTTAACAGTCATAACACACGGATATGTAAGAACATTGCGCGTGGTCGAGAAATTATTTCGTAATTAGGTCCAGCAAATGTTAAGGCTATTACGTCGGAGAATATACTATACGTACGCAAATCGATATAATAATCTTAACACATAAAGTTACGTCGTTTTGAAGTTTCCCATAAGAAATGCATCATGCTCTCTAGAAGCACATATGAAGTATAACTTCATGTGTTAAGGCCATTACGCCGGTCTGCGTACAGTTAATTGTAATTTATGCTCGGTCGACTTAGAAGCTTTACATCACGCGCGGTAACTTCGTTTGCGCGGAACTGTGCTCGTGTTGTTTCTCGCTTCGGATTAATTTTAGAAAATAGCCCGTCTAATTAATCGCCGGCTTGCTCGCGACGACGAGCGCACGATATTGCTCGCGCGTCCCGTTGTGCGGGGTAATCCGTATACATAAATTTTTTTCGAGCACGCGGCAATTGCGAGATAGGCCGCAACCGGGCTTTGTCTTCGCACCGGTACCGAATAGGTCAGGAGAAAAAAAATGGTCGATCGAACTGCGCCGGGATACCTTTCTGTGTCTCTCTCTCTCTTTCTCTCTCTCTCTCTCTCTCTCTCTCTCTCTCTCTCTCTCTCTCTCTCTCTCTCTCTC